CCTGTAGTCCCAGCTACTCGGGAGGCTGAGGCAGGAGAATGGCGTGAACCCGGGAGGCGGAGCTTGCAGTGAGCCGACATCGCGCCACTGCACTCCAGCCTGGGCTACAGAGCAAGACTCCGTCTCAAAAAAAAAAAAAAAAGAAAACATTCTTTCTAATTGTTCACAGGTAGGAAGTCACGGAATAGAGGCAGCTTGGGCTGGTGGCAGAAATGGTCGGGAAGTCATGGACAGGTTTTTCCCCCTGGTTCCAGATCTCCTTTCACCAAGAGGATTATTCTATTTAGTTACCATTAAAGAAAACAACCCAGGTAATACAGACCAATTTATTGTTTAAGCATTTATGTTGCTGAAATCAAAAGTTAATAATGTAAAATGCTATCATTTATAAGATAACCTGGCATGTTAATGAATCACTTAAAACAATTAATCACTGACAATAGCTAATAAAGGCATAAATTCATGTTGAAAGAGAAAAGAGGTTTTCAGGGGTAAATTTTTCTTATTTTAAAAAGTGTTATCTTCTCTTTTCCCCATTTATAACCTAATATTCAAGTACAAAGATCGCTAATGGTTTCTTCTAACACCTCACCCTCAGTGTTATGAATTTTCTCTCTACCCTCTAGTCTTCATGCCCTTGACAATTGTGCTGTACTCTTTAGTTCGTCTGGAGTTCTATCATGAAAGTTATTTTATTGTATAGATTTTTATATCTTTGTTTTCAGATTGCTTTATAACTAAATTGAACATAATCTTTCTTCTCTTTTTCTGTACACTTCAAGTTTGATTTTTAGCTTATACTAAAAATCCTCAGCCCTTCAAATCACATGATTGCTAGTTTTCTCTTGCCTTGCTTTCCTTTCCTTTCTTTTCCTTTCCTTTCCTTTCTTTTCCTTTCCTTTCCTTCTTTCTTTTTCTTTCTCTCTCTCTTTTCTCTTCTCTTCTTTTTTTCTTCCTTCCATCCATCTTTCTTTTCCCTCCCTCCCTCCCTCCCTTCCTTCCTTCTCTCTCTTCCTTTCTTTCTCCTTCCCTCCCTTCCTCCCTCCTTCCTTCCTCCCTTCCTTCCTTTCTCTTCCCTTCCCTTCTTTTCTTTTTTCTTTTCTTTCTTTCTCTACTCTTCTTTCCCTTCTTTCCGTCCATCGGTCCTTCCTTCTTTCTTTCTCTCTTTCTTCTTCTTCCTTCCCTTCTTTTCTTCTTTCTTTCTCTTTTTCTCTTTTCTCTTCTTTTTTCCTTCTGTCCGTCTTTCTTTTCTTTTCTTCTTTCTTTCTTTCTTTCTTTCTTTCTTTCTTTCTTTCTTTCTTTCTTTCCTTTCTTTCTTTTCTTTCTCTCTTTTTTCTCTTCTCTTATTTTTTCCTCCCTTTGTCCATCTTTCTCTCTCTCTTTCTTTCCTTCCTTCCTTCCTTCCTTTCCTTCTCTTCTTTCTTTCTCTTTCTTTCTTTCTTTCTTCTTCTTCCTTTCTTTCTTCTTTCTCTTTTTCTCTTTTCTCTTTTTTCCTTCTGTCCGTCTTTCATTTTCTTCTTTCTTTCTTTCTTTCTTTCTTTCTTTCTTTCTTTCTTTCTTTCTTTCTTTCTTT